TTTATTATTATGATTTGTGATTTTACACAGTAATTAAAAAATGTTAGAGGTACAGATGGTCACTTAAAAGTAAGTCTATATAAGAAAGGATATTATAATTCCAAATAAGTCTCCGCGGTTTAAATCAATATACGGATAAAATGAACAAGAGTTTACTTAAGAATTTTGTTGTAAAAAATGACAAATTGCCCTTCTGTAGGATGACTTAGGGACGAAAAATGGCAAATACGAGAAAAAATATTAAAAGTAGTACTTCTATTTATTAGCAAACAATTTTCATGCACTGGCTGTGGCAATCTATTTAAAAATATATCTAAAGCCAAACGTCATTTTTAAAAAATTGTAATACAATGTTGCCAGATGAAAAACTTTAAGCTGATCGATTAAAATAGCGAAAGCCGTTATTACTGGTTTTGATCGATCAGTTTTGGCTAGATTTGGTTGGTTTACTCCCATATTCTCTAAAAAATTTGGTTAAATCGTAAGTTTGAGACATTTAAAAAGCAAAATATTCATTCTTTTTGCCTTAAAACCTGCTGCGTAACCCGCATTTTTTTCTTGCAGTGTACTTGTAAGAGTTCGTTCTTCAGCACGTTTTTATTAACTCGCTTTTCTGTATATATGTATATGTCTGTATGTTCGGTATATTTTATTAATATTAATAAAGTATTTTAACCAGAACTTCTCCTAAGAACATGCCAAAGAAGGCAGCAAAGCACCTCGGGAATTTTGAGTTGAAGCATATGCCACATTTTTAGGCTATTTTTATACCCTATTCAAAAATTTTATGCTCCTCGTTTTTTGCAAAAATCAAGGTGCTCTGCTAGCTTCGAACGAAGTCAGCAGAGCACCTCAGTTTTTTAAAGCTTTTTTCCAAAACCAACGACACCATATTTTTAGGCTATTTTCAGGCTCTTAAAATATTATAAAATTTTTCGAAAAATGTTGTTATATTTAAAAAATACAGGGTGCTTTGCTAGCTTCGAACGAATCCAGCAGAGCACCTCGGTTTTTTAAAGCTTTTTTCTAAAAACAACTACACCACATTTTTAGGCTATTTTTAGGCTCTTGAAATATTATAAAACTTTACTAAAAAATTGCTATTTTTAAATAATACAGGGTGCTTTGTTGGAGCAAAGTCAGCAGAGCCCCTCTGTTTATTATTTATTTTTCAGAAAACTAGTTATACTACATTTTTAAGCTATTTTTAGGCTCTTAAAAAATATAACTTTTCAAAAAAATTTATTTTTTAAAGAATACAGAGGGTGCTTTGCTATCTTCGAACGAATCCAGCAGAGCACCTCGGTTTTTTAAAGCTTTTTTCTAAAAACAACTACACCACATTTTTAGGCTCCTAAAATATTATAAAATTTTACCAAAAGTTATGTATTGTTTTAGGAGCCTAAAAATAACTTAAAAAAGTAGCATAACTAGTTTTCTGAAAAAAATAATATTAAACAGAGGTGCTCTGCTGACTTTGCTCCAACAAAGCACCCTTTATTTTTTAAAAATAACAACATTTTTCGAAAAGTTTTATAATATTTTAAGAGCCTAAAAATAGCCTAAAAATATGGTGTCGTTGGTTTTGGAAAAAAGCTTTAAAAAATTGAGGTGCTCTGCTGACTTCGTTCGAAGCTAGCAGAGCACCTTGATTTTTGCAAAAAACGAGGAGCATACATTTTTTGAATAGGGTATAAAAATAGCCTAAAAATATGGTGCCGTTGGTTTTGGAAAAAAGCTTAAAAAATTGAGGTGCTCTGCTGACTTCGTTCGAAGCTAGCAGAGCACCTTGATTTTTGCAAAAAAACGAGGAGCATAAAATTTTTGAATAGGGTATAAAAATAGCTTTAAAATAGCCTAAAAATGTGGCATATGTTTCAACTCAAAATTCCCGAGGTGCTTTGCTGCCTTCTTTGGCATCCTAAGAACTAAATTTGTTCAATGCTGAACCAGTTCATGTTATCGGAATCAGCTGAAATTTGGTAAACACGTGTAAACTCAATCACAATGCAAAATTATGGTGTCCAAAAGTTAAGACGTTTGTGACATATTCATAAGATATTTGTTTCTTATTTTTCATTGAGGATTCACCCCTTGAAATTTGTATAGAGTTTTTGGACATCCTGTATATATTTTTTAAACGTACTAAAAGGATAAAATAATATTTTTTATGTTGTATTTATTAGCTATGTATTCTAATCTTGGTGTTAGGCCTTTAAGAAAATTACATAATTGTTTTATTATTATGATAGTATCTCAGATAGTATTTAAATAAATTTAAATATTGCATAAGTATTTAAATACCTTTTCAGTATTTAAATACTTTTGTGTTAGTATTTATCCCAAACAAGTATTTAAATACTGTAGGTATGTTATTTAAATACCTTTTGCTTTAAAAAAGTATTTAAGATTTAAATATTCTTATTTATGAAAAAGTAATTAGTATTTAAATACTTTTAAAAAGTATTTTGCTCTGGAGGTAATACTTAATATTTGGTCTGAACAAAATCGATAAATTATTAAGATTCCGGATGTTTGCTACATATGCGTAAGAAAAGATGAACTATAATTAAAAATTTGTTAGACCAGTAGTTCCTATGATGATAATCCTGAGTTGATGTGGCGTCCTTAATAGTGCACAATTTAACTTTTTAAAAATTATCTTTTTCACATTGCTTGTCTAAGGTCCACCTCCTAACAAATCTAACCAATAATTTTAAAACGTCTATAACTTTATCTAATCTTTAATCCCAATGATATTTCCCATATATTCGAAATGCTTTCAGTATTATTGGCCCCGCTAGCCAAGTATCAAAATACCTGCAGGTTATCTCGAACAAATGAAATTCTACCTGTAACGGGACCCTCCTTTTTTACCTTTTGAACTACCTGTTGCGTTACGCATTTATTACGCCATTCTCTTGCGAGGGGTGAGAATTCAAGTGTGTCAACTCAACAAGTGGACACAAAATTAGAAATATTTTATGGAAAGGTTTTGTAGATAGTTTGGTTATAAAATTGACGCTATGAACAATATTGCACTGTTCTCTTAATTGAACTTAATTTAATTGAATAACTTTATTCCATGCCCATGTCATTGTAAGAATTGGAAGAGTCCAAACAAAGACAAAAAATAATTTCAACTTCTAAATAACCTGAAATATTGACAGTAATGCGGGTAATGTGTGAATTGTTTTCACTATGTAAAGCACCAGTCTAATTTAAAATTTAGATAAGGAAACATATTTATCCTGCTCTGATTTTTATGTTTATTTCAATATTTAAAAAAAAAAAATTGGCTAGGAAGTGTCGTTTATTTCAAACAATTTACGCACCTACCTACTTACATATATAAAGACGCAAATAAAATTATTTGTAAGATTATTGGCAGACGACACTCACTAATATTATTATTATTATTATTATTAAATATATAAAAAAATACATAGTTTTCTGTCCTAAATATAAATATGCAATATAAATAAGTTAATTATAAATTAACAGCTTTTTACATATCACTCAGTTTTTTATCATCAAAATAAAGTGTTTTTAAGTCAAGTAAATTATACATCAATGTCTCAACATTATGTTGGAAATAATTTCTTTTTACATATATTGAATTCAGAATGTTGATTTTACAGTAGAAAGACATTGTACTTATTCATTTAATTATAAATGATCCTAATTTCATTGCACCACCTAAGAAGTAAGAACTGGTACTTAGGTACCTACCTAATTGGCGAATTTTGGTTTAGTTTGAGTGTAAATTGTTTGAATGTATTTTAGTTTTAGTTTAACGAATTTCTAAAGGTATTAACTATATAGGTAGTCTGTAGTCTAGAACTACTTATGTTCTAACGTTTCATCCTGTAGTTTATTGTATATCGAGTAGATAGACTATAGCACATATCTGACTAGTTAGTAGGTATGTATTTTGTAAAATGTGTTGTTTACCTACATAGAAAAAAAAGCGTTTCTGGATTAGATGTGCGTATTTAACTGTACCTTATAAATATAAGAATTAAGTTTTATCAAACAGAAACGATAAATGGTAGGAAATAATTAGAAAAAGACAAAGGTGTAAAATTACATACCTATCGCAAAATATGCTATCCTCAATTAGGTAAAAATCTACTGCCAAGAGCACAAAAACACATTTAATTTATATTGTTTATAAAAAAGTGAGTAACAAAATGTAAAAACCTTTTTTTATAAATTCAATTACTTAAGTATATTTTTTAAATCTATTTAAAATTTAAAGGAATAAAATTGAAGCATACCTATCTAACCGAAGTATCTAACCTACATAGGTATACCTAATTCGGAGATTTTATATAGGATACCTACATATGAGATACCTACCTTATATAAAATGCATCGTGCGTGATCATTAAATTGACAATACCTTATGTAATTTAATAATTAAGAAAATCTGACTAAAATGACATCATTAAATTGATATACAGTTCTAAAAATGGCTAATGACACGCACATAATAAAAAATAAACAACATTCAATGTTTAAATATTAACATTTTATCAAAGAGTTATTCCTCCGTATTAATATTGGCCATAAAATGATAAAAATATCTGAGACGGGTCGGTTTTGATTTTTTAAACGGTTAGACTGTGACGACAAGACCCAAGTTACCTACATACCGATGTTAAAGCATTCTACCGTGAAACCACGCCTTCAATCGTAACATAGGAATTCGCAAAAACAATGCTAAGTTGTTACGATAAGCAAGTATTTATAATTAAATTAAAAATTAAGGCATTAAATATAATTTTGAGGACAAGGTATGTTGTTTACTTGAAAATACTTCGATTCGAAAACGAACAAACCGGGTAAAGAAAACAAAACTTGCAGGTCAACAAATACGTCACTATTCTATCACATGTTTATACAATCACTTGTAACTTGATAATTGTTCGGTAAATTATCCATTTCAATGAATAAAACTGCTCAATGAATAGGCAAACCAGCCTAAAACAACTTACCTTCATCTAGAAGTCGCTCTACGTGGATAAAAACATTTGGAAACGCTGCAAGTTGTTTTCTATCCTTTAATAACTGAGCTAGATAGTCCGCAATGCTTTGCGTAGAAGCGTTGTTTTGGTCACACATGTTTATACACGATTTTGCACGATAATGTTAGTATTTAAATTACAATAAACATGTAAGACTCAACTACTAACAACTCACGCACTCAACCTTAGTAAAAATTCAACTGAGTATTAGTCGGACATCACCACCAAACTAAAAGAAACAGAAGTAGAATGTCGATAAGCGCTTGCGCTCGGATCAAGCAGACTATGCGCACTTCGGATTTGCCTTTTAAGGGCCGCCCGTGTATTTCTTTAGATTGCAGTGTTGTCGCTGTGATTTATTTTTCTCCGCTTAACTTGTTTTATGATTATTCATCACGTGAACTCGTGCAGTTTCCTATATTAAAGAAAAATAAAAAAGTAAATTAAATTTATGTTGAATTTTCGTTGTGTAGCTGTGTAAATACTTTCATTTTTTTTTAGTGATTTTTGATTTCTATAAACTGTCTGAAACACAATTTCAGGGTTAAATTTACAAAAAAATTTCGAGTGAGCTTCCCTTGACTACCCCTTTTAACTGGGGATTATTGCATATTTCCCCAGACGAAATAATACGAAAAACAAGCAAATAGTTAATAGCTATACATGGTGTTTCATAATTAAAAGTAAATATTTTAATCTGTTGTTACTGGGATACAGTGTTTTGCCCATTTTGCTCATTCCATTCGACGTTAATAAATAGCGACACCCATACAGCACAAACATATTTCAGAAATATTTCAAAAATATTACATTGAAACATTGGTAAATATTACAAAACATCACAGAAACATTTCTGAAATGTGTCTGAAACGTAATAATATTTCAGAAATATATTCTAGCTTTTTTTTTTTCTAAAATATTATTAGACTACAAAAAGAGACATTTATAAATATACATGTTTATCTATAATACACAAAACCACAAAACTCAAACAAATAAATAATTTTTAAACATTATTTCATAAAATATAAAGGCGAATCGCCTAATTTCCACAAATTCCTTTAAATGAATGGAACAAATAGTTTTTTTTTAATTAATTCCCCAAGTAAAGAAACATTTACGATTATTACAATCTGATCATTAAGATCAATTAGTAATTTTATTCTAATTTAACTCATCAAGGGATAAAAAACTGCATAAACTAATATTCTACTCACTAGTATACCTTAGAGTCTATTTAGTTACACTACCGTTAACGTATAACACTTAACCGCACTATGCTCTGATTTAACATCACTGAACTAACTCAAAAGGCTTGGTTCTCTTAAGTCTTCTTATTAGATTGGCATTGTTGAGGAGCTGGATAATCTCAAGGTTTCCATGTTGGAGCAGTCGTTGTTGGTGACTACTGGCAAATTTTTGTATTGTATTTTCAACAGTCTCCACTTTAAGGTCTCTATGAAGATCAGTATTGTGATAGTGTGATAGTACCAGGGTGCATCGATGATGTTCCTTAATACTTTATTCTGGAAACGTTGAATAATTTCGATATTACATTTACTGACACAGCCCCAAAGCTGGCGAATCGCTTCCTTTTCGCCAATTCCTTTAAATGCACTAATCTAAAACAAATTATAGGTCTATTAATATTGTTTTAAATTAACTATAATAAAACAAACAATACTCATGCCTACACAAAACATGAAGTTCCACTTTTCAATCAGCTGTAGGACGTAGAACCAATAAATAAAACTGGAGGAGGGAGAGCAAATGTAGGTTATAATTAAATAGAAATAAGGATATAAAATGCCTATAAATTTGATAAACGAAATGGCGTCACTTGTCTCAGAGAAGAGATGAAGTTAATAAACCTAACCTAAATAAGCATTGTAATCCTCGCCTCAATTTCTATTCTGTCTATTCTGCTTCCCATATAACAACAGCACAACGCATAAATAACAAAAAAATGGAATTGACAAAAACCGACAACTCAAATCTATAATTATTTAGAATATAGGGTACCATGTTTCAGAAACATTTTCAGTGAAGTATTTAATTAAAATATTTCGGAAACTTGTGCTTGAAATGTTATATGTTTGAAACGTTTGAAATATTTGAAACACTTCTGAAATAATTTGTGCTGTATGGGGAACCAGTCTACGGCAGCGTAGAAGGGCCACACTTTTAATTTTTTTTTTATTTTTAAAATTCCGTGTTTGAACACGGAATTCCTTGTTCGTGCACGGAATTCCGTATTCAAACACAGAATTCCGTATTCGAACACGGAATTCCTTGTTCAAACACGGAATTTCTTGTTAAAACACGGAAATCTCAAATTCCGTGTTCAAACACGGAATTTCCGTGTTCAAACAAAGAATTCCGTATTCGAACACGGAATTCTGTATTCGAACACGGAATTCCCTGTTCAAACATGGAATTCCTTGTTCGAACACAGAAATCTAAAATTCCGTGTTCAAACAAAGAATTCCGTGTTCGAACACGGAATTCCTTGTTCGAACACGGAATTTTATTTTCGAACTATAAATTTAAATAAAGTATTTACAGGTTGCTTTTGGGTGACTTGAGGATCTTTGTGAGGGATGGGTAAATACAGATTCTTTGAATATCCTCAGATTTTTACATTTGCCGATTTTTTAAAAAAGAGACGGAAGTAGTATGTTATGTTGATAATGGGGTGTTAATACACTGCGACCTAAAAGATCTATTGTGCCCCCTTCTGTCGCCACTGCACTAAGGAAATGTCTCAATGCCTATAGCGACCCTTCCAATCCTATTTTCTCAAGGAAGTAGTATCAAAAGTCTTGCCCTCTTTGTCCCCTGCATAGTAATATTTTTCCATTAATTTTATTTCCAGGTCAGTCTTATGTCTTAGGCTCTAGTCCCTGATGCCCAAATTTCATTTAAATCGATTTAAAATAACACCCTGTATAGTGTTTTAAATTTACTCTCATTGCCTCTCTAGCCTAGATAAAAGAGGGATAAAGTGAGGCGGTGTTTTCTAAATCCAATTATTAGTTATCTCTCGAAAAAAGTAAAGAAATGGAGGACCGGTTAAAAATGTTGTTGCTTGTATTTCTATTAAATGGTATTATCAAAAAATGGTGGTGCTACTTAAAAAACTAGTGATGGCGTCATATTTCGAAAAATGATGACACCTGATGAAAAATATACTTATACCAAAATATTCGCATCTACGCTTCTACGCTGCCGTACATATACCAATAAATACTGTAGCTCGAATATAAAATTATGTGTTCGACCACGGAATTCCTTGTTAGAACACGGAATTTCCGTGTTCAAACACGGAATTCCTTATTCGAACACGGAAATCTAAAATTCCGTATTCGAACACGGAATTTCCGTGTTCATACACGGAATTCCGTGTTCGTACACGGAATTCCGTGTTTGAATACGGAATTCTTTGTTTTAACACGGAAATTCCTTGTTCGAACACGGAATTTTGGATTTCTGTGTTTGAACACGGAAATTCCGTGTTTGAACAAGGAATTCCGTGTACGAACACGGAATTTTAGAATAAAAAAAAAAAATTAAAAAATGTGGCCCTTCTACGCTTCCGTACCAGTCAGTATATTTTTAGATATTTAGTACCAAGTTTTCTTTACAGTGATTGATAAAAAAATCAGCCGGAGAGGCTAGCCGCGAGATTAGTGTGTATCCACATTATCGCAACAGTTAAGCAGTTATTTCTCCGGCCAAGTCGTGGATGTGTGATAACTGGACGTCCACCGACTTAGCCGACTAGCGGTTAACAATCGACAAGGTGGAATGAATGACGATTTAAGAATGAATGTAAGATGATTGGAAAGTAGTAGGGCATCCAAATGGTGGCACAATAAGCCACCTGCGCTTCAGTGTCGCCATGCGAACCCCAAGAGGAAGGAAAGCAGGCTGGGCTCCAAAGCTGATTGAGGAGAACCAGTGGCTGGGCTCAATCCTATCCTTGATTGGGGTGAGTTTTTCGGAACCCCTCAAGGCATCAAAATTGATAAAATCCATTTGCACAGTTGAAAAGAGCACAAAACTAATTTATACAGTATTCCGCCTACAACTGTACTACTCAAAATTAAGTTTTACGCATTTGGTTGGTTAAAGTGGAATATTATGGATTTTTAGCGCTAAATAATGAATATTATTTAATGGAAATTTATTCAGGTCGGTATTTTTAATTTTTAAACATATTTTCAAACGCATGTGTACATTTATTTTAAAATTGGTTTTGTATCCATGTTATTATTTCACTCTGCATCTCAGTTGTAAAGATTGTATGTATAGTACACAGTATTTTAAGTTTCATACAATGACGTCAGAAGAACGGTATAGAATAAGCGATGCCATTGATTAGACAGAGGTAGAACAGTGCGCGTTAGCCCATTATTGGTAGAGATATCTATCTGTCCAATCACGGCAGACAGGCAGCCGATTCACAAGAGTCTTTCTCTATTTACCTCATGTCAAAATATAATTAAGCGTCTTATCTTTATTTCGAAGGGTTCATAGGTTAACATGTTGTATATAGAATCACTTTAAATCAATACCAAGATAAATATTTAAACATTTTATGATTTTTTGTTTCTGCCAAGCTAATATTACAATCAGAATGAATCAAGAAACAAAATAATCAGTTAAATTTAAACTATCATGCAAATACATTTCTCAATTTGGATTACTAGGTAGGTAGTTATTAACAGTGAAAACTTTATTAGATTCAAGATCTCAAAACAAGTAGTATTGGCATCTGATTACCGCATGTTATGTTTAATTTTTTATTAATATGGGTGTTGAGCATACTTTGTTACTGTTTCTCAGTGCCACTGTAGGAATATCACTTTTAATTAGTAACCAACAGTGAATGGTTGAGTGGGGAATCTACCTTCTCATTAATTAATTAATTACTTGAATTAGACAAAATGATGACTCCAGTGGGATTCGAACTCCAGAACCATTTACTCTAACCACCCACCCCATTGCACAAATAAACATCTATTTCCTTTAAAAATAATTAAAAACGTAAAAGTATTGCAAGCGTACAATTTGAAATGAGACAAGAAGTAAAACAACAATCCACCATGTAGTATTGTAATTAACTTTATTTTGGTATTTATGCACTACATTATTAGAATAAACTATTATGTACAAACAAATAATCCCTTATGAGTTCCAACTGGAAATGGGAATAATTAAAATTT